AAGTAACCATATTCTACATCAGTTATGCATTGAAAATAAATTATTTATCATTTCATTGTAAATGTACATTTTTTGTTATATAAAGCCTAAAATTTATTTAAATAACTTAATACATTGTTAGTAGTGGCCTTTTGATTCATTGTGGTTTTTAAAAATATATCCTCCAATTCTGTAACTATAAGTGGATTTTAAAGAATTTATCCCAACCACTTACTTAATAAGAAATGCTCTGGCAACCTGAAAAGGAACTTTGCAAATCTATACCCTAGATCATTTTCTTTATATTTTTAAAATTACCGCTTTTAAAGTTTGATTGATTCTTGCTTTATAGAATTATATTATATAACAAATTACATTATACGACCTCTATGGGTACAATAACCCAACTCAGACTTGTCTCTTTATTGAATTACATAGATACAGTTCTGAATTTAATAATGAACTTAACTTAAAAACGTAATTTTTTGAGTTGTCACACTATTGAACTGGGGTATCAAAATAATGGATGAATTTAAAGAAAATCATGATAATACACTCATTAAAAAAAAAAGGTTAAAAAACCACGTGTATGTAGCAACTTATATTTGCAGAATCGAGCCCATATTTGCGAACTTTTTAACATTATGTAGTTTCATTATGAACATAATACCGGAAACAATGGCATGTGGTGCTTATCAAAGGTAAATCTGCATAAGACTGTTAACTCAAACTGAATTTTTATCATTAAAAATATTAAGGATGTGGGTTTCGTGGAAAAGTAAAATTGGAACATGCTTCCACGGACATGTCTGGATTACTTGATCATGAAATTTAAAAACTGCAATAGATTTATTCATATCCTTAAAAAAATGTTTTCTTAAAATGTTTTCTTAACCGCCTTTCAAGTAACTCCAAGTAACTCCTAGTATTTTGTGTTGAGTAAAGTGAAACGAGGTCCTATAGTTTATTGTGGAGTCCGAACCACATCTAGGGGCATCGACAGTTCTCACCCATCAAATTACAAATAACATTTCTAACTTACTCTGGGATGGATTCGAACCATCGATATTTGCTACCGAGTAAATAGCTATAAGCGCTTTACCCACTCGGCTACCATGCCCATATCCTGCTGGTTTAAAAATTATAAACATCAACTTTTTCTAATAGTAAACATTGAATTTTCACGCCATGGAGAAAAAAATCTGCATTAACAAATTACCTATATTAAGTACTGAAAAAATTTGATAAAAAAAACTTGAAAATTCAAATTGACAATCAAGGCTTTTAAACTAGGAATCTAATAGATTAAATTTGTGGCCTTTTTTAAATTCTGTTTTTAACATTATGTCAATAAACCAAGCTTATTTAAATCTGTGGTTTTTGTTCAAATCGACAGTAAGAAACTCAATATATGTATAAATGTAGTAATTCTGAAACTCAAGTAATAGTTAAAATTTTTATTTTTAGCAGCAGCCCTTGCCACCTCGGAGTAACATGCATGGACCTCCTCTTAGTGCATCTCCTCTCAGCAGTAGGACCAGTCTTTCTGTTCCTCAGCCACCCCAAAGAACTTCGATTGGCCGGCCACCTTCCGCTTATCCTCCTGGAGTCAAAGACTTGTCTCCATCGGTTACGATAACACCAGCACCACCTCAACCTATTAAGGTATTGAAATTATCTATTCATATATTTCTAAAGAAACAAAAATCTTCTGTAACGCTTTGTTTATTAAATATTTTTTTAATGCTGCCAGACTGTTAGTGGACTAGATAACAAGGGGTTAGTGCTTGGTGGTGGATCTATGCAAACAAATCTAATCCAAGAGGTAATATTATATTAAACAATAGAAAGATTTGTTAATAAAAAATAGTACCACAACTGATAGTGATTTTTTTTTTAAAATGCCATCTTTTGTGGCATTGATTTTGTTAAAAAAAAAGAAAGACGTGTAAAAATTAATCATTTTATAATAATTATAAGTAATCAGTAGAGTCTAGGAATTTGGCGTTACCAACAAGGGAAAGAACTTCATTAAACATTATTTTGTTCTTATTTGCTTTAGTAAATTTAATTAAACATGTTTTTGATATGTTTAATTTTTAATTATGTCCAGTATACCATTTATAGACTGTGTAGAGCATCAGTAATACGTTTTCTATTTTGTTCTTTTGTTCTTATTACTACAAAAGTATCATCTGCAAAGAGTTCTGTTAAATGTAATAAATAATATATCAGGAAGTTCATTGACGTACAGCAGAAAAAGAAATGATCCTAAAATTGACCCCTGTGGTATTCCTCTTTCTACTATACACCAATCTGAGTATATTTGTTTACCATCAGAATATTCTGTCACAACACATTGTTTCCTATTTGTTAAGTAAGACCTAATCAAATCTAATGATTATCCAAGGAAACCTAACAATTCTAGCTTATCATACAATATTTTATAGTCGATACTATCAAAAGCTTTTGACAAATCCATTAAAACACATACAGTGTACTCACCTTCATTGTTTCCTGCCATAATTTCCTCCAAAACTTGGAAAATTGCTCTGTTTGTAGATCTACCGTTAATATACCCATCTTGTTTGTCGTTGAATATATTATTTATTAAAAAGGCCGACATTCTAGTTGCAATACTTTTTTCGTATATCCTTGCTATTGTTGATAATGCAGTAAGCCTATAATTGGGCAAACTTGATGATTCTCCCTTCTTGTATAGAAGTTGAATTACAATAAACTTTAATTGCTCCGGAAATACATCATGGGCAAAAAATATATTAATAAGTTTTGCAATTGGTTGACATTTGTTTAAAAGTTTTGTTGGAATTTCATCAAAACCAGTCGAGTTTGTATGAATTGCATTGAAAACTTCCAAAGGATCCGTTTTAAAGAAAACGAATGAATTTACATTCTTAACGTTTGTCATGTCCGCGGTTTCATTTTTATTTATATCCTCCACCACATTAATTAAATATTTATGTATATTTGTTAATGTATCTTTTGTATTATCACTGCTTTTTAAAATTTTGTATATCAAAGTTTTTTTCACAGTTGGTAGCTCTAATTTTATTTTCCTTGTTTTAGTTCATTATGTATGCGGTGTCAAGAGTTTTGTTTGGCTTGTATGCCTTTTAAAGTTTTTTTGAGAACTCTGTATATATTTTTCTTTTTACTTCTCCCCTAATTGTACCGTCATATAGTTGTTGTTTTATTTTGCACCCATACTTTAGTTCATCCATAATACATTTTTTTGTCATATTATTATGATTTCCTTTGTTAATAGTTTTTGAACTGATATTGATATCAAATACTGTTTCAAAGAATTTATTGTAGGCTTCATTAACGTTGTTTTGTCTTTTGTCTATATTTTCTCCAAGGAAAAAAAAGAAAAATTTTCCTACAGCACACATTTTAGGTTTTCCTCCATTAACAGTATTTTGCATTCTGTAAAATGTCTTCTTTCCTGATTTTCATATAGACGATTATTTTTACTGGTAATTTAAATACTAACTTTTCAGTCAAGAAGTATTTACATTACCAGTAAAAATAGTCGTCTACATGAAAATCAAGAAAGAAGAAATTTTACAAATTGTGAAATATTATTAATGGAGGAAAAACTAAAATGTATGTAGTAGGAAAATATAGACAAAAGACAAAACAATGTTAATGAAACCAAAATATACATCATTTTCGTATTGATTGGTATTTATAAATATTTTATCTATTGATGTTGGAAGTTGCACTGTTATTAAGTATTCTTGTTGGCTTATTAATGGTTGCTTGTAGATTGTAACGTGCGAGTAGGTCCTTGAAATCTCTGACTTCACTTTTATCTGTTTTTATGAGGTCAATGTTAAAATCTCCGCATGATATTATCCTTTGGCTAGTTATTTTCGACGCTTTCAGTAGATTTATTTAAAAATTCTTGAATATTTATTAAGGATGGTCTATAAACGACTATTATATTTAATCTTTTTACCATTATTGGTTAGCATTTATAATATTTTCTATACTTCTATCAGATTATTCAGTTCCCTAAAATCAAAGTCTTGAATTAAAAATATATATGAACCTCCATATCAACTTTTACGAGGGGTCGTTTTTAATATTCTCGGACTGGGCGTGAAAACAAAATACTAGAGCAGCAACAACAATTTATTTTTCAATATAGTTCCCCTGCTTTTGAATATAATTATTACACCATTTCAATAACATTTTTTATCTATTGTAAAAATATTCATTTGGTTTCTTCACAAAATGACCAACAGCTGCTATTAAGTTCGTCATTGTCTCTGAGTTTTATCCTCCTAAGTACTTTTTGAGTTTCGGAAACAAAAAGTAGTCGCTGGTTGCTAAATCTAGACGGGTATTCAATTTCTTCCAGCCACAATCAGCAACATCAGCTTTTGCAAGTCTGGACTTGTGTACTGGCGCATTGTCGTGGAGCAGCAAAACACCTCTCGTCAATTTCCTGCGTCTTTTCACTTTAATATAATCTCTTAGACGATGCATTAAGCTTGTATAATACTCTCCCATTACTCTACTACCCTTCTTCTGATAATCAATATACAAAATTCCCTGACAGTCACAAAAAATGGTTGCCACTATTTTTCCTGCAGAAGGGTGTGACCTTAAACTTCTTGGGAGGACTGGAGCCCTTGACATGCCACTGCATGGATTCTTGTTTTGATTCAGGTTTATGATGATAAACCTACGTTTCATCTCCAGTGACAAGTCTTTTGATAATTAAATTTGGTTAAATCTGGTCTCTACAAAGTACCAAGAATTGTTCACACGTCTCTACGGAACCCATCTTTCACTAACCTTTGTCATTCCAAGGTATTCATGTAGATTTCTTAAAACCGTGGTCTCTGAAACTCCTAATAAAGCTGCTAATTGCCGCTTCTTCAATCCTGCATCCTCCAGTACCAGACACTTAGTTTTTTCAACAACATCTGAAGCGATCACGTCAACATGGCAACCTGGACGAGGAACATCAACCAATGATTCTTGACCACATTTAAACAGTTTTGACTACTCGAAGAAGCAAGATGATACTGGTTTAGGGACATAAATTTCCAATGCTCTGTTAACGCTACAATATCTAGTTTTTGTTCATATGTTTCGAGAAATAAATGCATATTCATTAAGTTTGTTTTTGTTTCTTACATTCTGATGTAATAGAAAAAATTTCTCTGTAAAATTGCTGTTTCTATTATTATTTATATTTATGTTTAATGAATCCTGTTATAAAAAATTGTCAGCTTTATTACTATTTTTTTCTATACTCATTAACCCTGTACTTTTTAAAGTCAAAACGTTCATAGCAGAATTTTTTTGACCAAAATCTACTTTTATATCCCGTGTATAAAACCAGGTGTGGCCGGTTAGAAAAAAAAATGGCTGCTACCTAGGATGAAATGAGATGGAATAAGACACACCCAGAGAACATAAAGACAAGCTTAGTTTGTGCACCACCAACCACTTACAATACATTCACACTGTTACGTCCATCTCGTTTGTTAAATAGGTCTTTGTTAACATTAGACCACATTAGGCGTTTTACACATGGTATACTTCTTACATCCTGGTTTAGATTTGACAAATAAATTTATATAATTTTCAGTAATGTCCTTTTTTATTCGTGAGAGTAATAGCCAGACTTTTCTCCACTGCCACCTTCAGCAATTTTTCTTTATTTTCGATTTATAACTTCTTGAAAGTCTAATTTATTTTTAGTTTAAGATATTAGTTTGTGCCAAAATAATGGTTTTTTGTTTCCATGTTGATGAGTGAACTTATTATTGCCCTTTGTTTATTTTCCCAAGCAATAAAATTATTTCTGTTTGGTGTGTCTTTCTTTAAAACTTCGGAGATTTATTTGAGTTTCCCTGGATTTTGGTTTACAGATGTTTTTTCATGGGATGGTATTTTGTTTCGTTACTAGTTTTTGTACCACTTAACAAATACTGCAAGGCACAGATCTTTTGTGCATCTTCATCTCGCTTCCACGATATGTTTGTCAAGTAGTAGATGTTTTATTTTGATTTATTTTATTTATTTCAGATTTTAAATAGTGATCCTTTGTTAATATTCTAAAGTTATTTTCAAACGGGA